TGATCTCATAAATCTCGCGGAAACTATTCAACATGCTTTCTCGTCAATGTATTAATGACTTCCCCGATATTACTCGTTACGTATACATTCTTACCTATTATAAAGGGCTCGAAGCTCAAAATAACATGAGGTGAAAATATTGCCAAATTGTAAAAAATAAACCCGACTTCAGAACAGTTCAATCCAGAATATGTCCTAAACTCGGGGGCCTCCTATTGATACCCAATTTGGCTCCGATTAATTAAATGATAAACGAAATAATAAAATACGACCCGATAACCGATGAACCAAAAATATGTAATAAATAAATATAACAAACAGGTACTCCAAGTTGATCGTCCAAAGGCCGACGAGACCCCCTGGATGAAAAGTCTGTCTGTTACGGAGCCGGGAAGAATTCGAGATGACCGACCGGCGCAGATACCCTGAAGAAGCTGCCTTCGGAAAGACGCCGCAACTGCCAAAAAGATAAACGTCAACCGAGATTGTCAATATTCATAAGCAGGTCCCACGATAACCATCTTATATTAAATAATGGTGTACTATTTTTTAATTATTTAATCCCCCCACTTGTAGAAAAGGGTCATGTATATAATGGCCTTAACAAATAAAAAGAGAGAGAGGATGGATTCATCCTCCTCCCCCAACAAAGAAAAAGAGAGCATTCTCTCCAAAAATAAGAAATAGAACACTTTTTTTTCTTCATTTTCTACATGATATTCGACTCATAATCCACCATTGATCGTCTGATTTTCCACATCAACATTAAGTTTGGGTTGTTTAAATCTATAAACGAGTCCATATTGAGTTTTCACAATTCTAGTCATGACCAAAACCGATTCTGGGTTGAAAACGTCGGTCCCGGGTCATGGGTCTGAGTGCCCTGAACTGGCCCAAACATATGCATTTGCCAATTCATTGAGTTTTCGATTCTTGGTCGCCCGATTCCTTGACAGAAATAAAAAAAAAAATAAAGAATATTATTTAAAAAAAATAAAAAGGCTGAACCTCTAGTTCCGCTTCAAGTTTGAAACGAAAATCGCCGGTTCGAAATGTATAAACTATAAAGTATTGAACATGAATCAGACTGGAAAAATCAATTCAAGACCCATGATTAATTGGTCAGATTGTGCCGGTTCAGGCCGAACCGGCGAATTGGGCTGGCCGATGACCATGTCTGCTCGGTTCTAATAACAGCTACAATAATACGTAGACCCGGGCTAAATTTTTTTCTGGCAACGTCCCTGATCTGGATCATCTTATACAGTAAGCTTGTGTAAAGAAATAAAAAAAAAAAAAAAGAGAAACGAGCTCGTTTCTATTCTATCCTATCTCAACAAATTAATCCAATGTTGTTTATGCAAAGGAATTGAGAAGGTAACTATTTTTGTCCTCAAATTAAGACTTGACATCTCAGATAGAGACAGTGAGAGCGAAGAGAGAGAGGAGGGGAGAGAATAGTTAGAATGAGCTTTTTATAGAAAAGCGGATTTAGAGGATGGCCCTTGCCTTTGTACGATTACACTTTTAAAAAACAAATAAAAATAAAAGGCATTATTGATGAATCTTCTCACGTCTTCCATCTTCTCAATTCAATTAAGGTAAATATTCATTTATCTCTTCAAAATCCATGTTTCCCAATCTTTCTCTTGTACATGATAATTTTTGTTTAGTGTTTAATATAAGATAAAATTCACGCATGCATCTATATATCGCATGAAGGTTATAATTGTAATGCATATGTATGTATATATGTATAATTTTTGTGATATTTCCTTATTATTCAGGTGGATTGTGGTGATATCAATATCGGTATCATATCATTTCATATGATATCATGGTAGGTATGTAGGTAACCGGTGGGATTATTATCACAACTAATTAATGAATGGCATCACCTCCAGAGGCATCTGAATTTGGTGACTCCAACGACACAGACATATCTCTTCCTCCTCAACCACCACCACCACCACCTGCAGCAAATGATGACGACAACTCACCGTCTCCTTCTCTCTATCCATCCCCACCGCCTCCGCCATCATCATCTTCCCCACCCCTACAATCCCCTTCTCCTCCGCCTGAAGATGAGGCAAACACCTCACCCCCTCCACCTCCAGAGGTGTCCTCCCCTCCATTGCCACCGCTTGCCACCTCCCCTCCACTGCCTGTCGCCACTCCTCCACCACCTGCCACCACTCCTCCACTACCTGCCACCTCCCCTCCACTGTCCGCCACCACCCCACCACCGCCTCCAGCCATCCCATTCGGCCCTCCTCCTCCTCCTTCTGCCTTCTCTCTACAACCTCATGTAGCTCTTTTGCCACCACAACCAGCGTCAGGTAATAGTGTCACCGGGGGCTCACAGCCACCACCGTCTACTCCGAGCCCAGATGTCGCTCTTATTGTTGGGATTGTCGTTGGGGGAGTCGCGGTTCTTGCTCTTTTCATCATATGCTTAATGTGCTCCACAAAGAAAAAGAAACACCCATATTATATGGATCCTGCTCACATCCCGCCTCGAGGTACCTGTTATTTTTCCAACTTCATTCCAATTTCACAATATTTCGGATCATTAATTTAGTAAAAAATTAATATGAAACAATTTTGATTGCTGGAGCTTTTGAGACCATAGTTTTAGAGTTAAAAAATCCAACCAACACGGATTTTGGCAGAGGAGAGTTGATTATTCCTTTAAAGCTACTAGTAAAGTGCATGTGGTGGTGAATGTTTTTACCGATTAGATTTCGTAAATTAATTTAAATAATTTATTAAACATATTATTAAAGGAACAAAATAAAATGTAGAACAAATGAACTCTAATGTAATTTTCTCTTTCAGGAATAACATAATAATGTCATAATATCATTTGTAGCTCAATTAAATTTCATTTACCCGCTTAATTTTTCGTCCAAAATAATATGAGTTGTTCAACTTTTATCCTAATTTTGGTGTTGTATTACGTCAGTTTCAAGTATGTGATCCTAAGTTAAGTTTTTCTCGTCGAGACGATAATACAAAAAATTTTAGACCAATAGGAGTTCATTTGCACAGTTAATCGTCCGTCCAATGTTATATGCCTAAAGTACATATTCGACCTGTGATCAGCCCGCGATAATCCGACCTTTATCCTACAACTAATGATTCGTGTAACTGTTTAGATTAATTTTTCAAATTAATGTAATAAGTTTGATGTCTGTCAAAAAAAAAAAAAA